TACACAGCGAGGTAATTGAAAGGTCATCGGTTCAGTGACGGCCACATGCTGCATGTTCGCACGCGCTTCTGCCAACAATTTGTTAAAATTTAACGCTTTATTTACTGCCCGACTGTCTACCCTGGATTCGTCCCCGTACACTGAGAGAAAATCGGATTGAACCCGACTCTGTGCACTCGCAGTTTGTATCTCTTGATTTGATAGAATTGATTGGGTGCGATAAATGGATTTGTAGTTGCTTTCCGTTTGGTTCCTCCTCTTTTTTCACCGTGTGTCCCGCCTTTTTGCACATCCTCGAAGTGCTGACACGTGGAACTGCAAAGGCAATGTATCTGTGCTGTTGCAGTTGTATCCGTGTCCTGGCTGAGCGACAGTTTGACATCTCTAAATAAAGTTTGCACTTGCTGGCTACGTGGGCACAGCCAACACACCCACCACATTCACACCCACTCAAACACACACATACATGCATACAGCAGACAGACACGCACACAGATGCGGGGAAAATAAAAGGGAGATGAACACCCAGTGGGGCACGTTTGACAATTTAATGGTGTTGAGGTTATTTATACAATACGCTCGCTGCAAGCACTCAAATATTCAGTGACCGGCAGCCAATGTCCGGCAGTCGGTTAAAGTGCCGCTTTAATGGCTTAAACTAGTCCGTTTAACTACAAGTCAAGCCGATGGAACGCTTGTGTTTTGGTTTAATCTTATCGAAGCGATTAGCAAGATATAAGTCCGCTATGGCTTAACTGAAGCAAGTGAGTTCATGATATTATGAAGAAAGTACTTTAAATATAGAAAACCAGTCATAAGATATTAGTATGACAAGAGCTGCTTAATGTTTTATGGGACATAAAGTATAACTAAAATGCGGTTACTAGTCATCGAACTTTTAAATAGCACTAAGAATTAAGGATATAAAAGAGAGAATCTATTTGAAGTCATTTTGGAACCACGACCTCATTTCCAACCCTCTCAACAAGTTCGAATTGCATTTCAGCCCCTCGCGAAGGACGAAGATTGACAGGACAGCTTCCGACAGGCGGCAGGATCCTTCGTCCTTCGTCAGTCTCCGCCCTCGCGGATGGGATAAGGATACTCGCACTTGCAGCTCGAGAATCCCGCTGGTGGCAACCAGCGCATTACTCTTGGCTGCTACAGTTTATGGGCTTTAATTTAATTTCAGTCCGAACGGGAAAAGCGCTGAATTAACGATCTGTTTGGCCACATAAAGGCGATTACCGAGCAGGAGCGACTCGCGGATGCTGGAGGGGATTGGGAGCACCCGACGAGTTATGGGACTTTAAATACCAGGGGCTGGTCGGCAATTAAATATCGCAATATCGCAACAATCAAGGGATCCCGAGCCAAAGAGCTGCGATTCGGCTGTCAGCACTTTATTAGCTGGGAAACTGACGAGCTGGCTGCGTAATGGAGGTCCCATGGAACTCGGTTGCCCATAAATCAGCGGCATGGGAAATTACCAAACGAATGATGTTTACTGCTGGAATGCAAATAGAATGACCTGCATGACGGGCAAAGGCGAGTGCAAGGCTGCTAATAAATAAAAACACACCGGTTTGCGCCATTTACATAATTTTGATTATTTTCGCTGGATGCGAGCGGTGTCCTTAGCCCGAATAACATTTGCAGTTGCCATTTGGCATTCGACATTCGGCATTTGGTATTTGGTATTTGGGTTGCTTTGGGGTTGTTTTGCTGCGGTTTTGCCCAACCCGTTGGCATTATGGAAATTTCCGTTTGTCATTTTGGGGCGCGAAGTGTCTACATGCAAATTGAGTTGCAGCAGCAGCAGCAGATCCCCTCGGCTCACTCAGCTCAGCTTTCCCCCCCGAACGTTCGACCGTCGAGAGTTGTTTGTTTGGTTTGCATTTGGCAAATGCAATCTTAGCAGGGCTTCCTGCCGCCCGTCTGCCAATACATTAAATTGCAATTTTAATTTGTTTAGCATGCGGCACTGGCGTCCTGCATCTGAATCTGCATCTGCAGCTGCACCACATGGCGTATGCGTTATAATCGCACAGCCCCTGCATACATGCACTCCACGCCGTGTCTGCATTTTTAATACTGCCATTCCATCCACTCCACTCCACTCCATTCGAATCCAATCCACCTGCAGCTGCGGCCCACAAGCTGCCGGAGATACTTTCGCATTAAAGATTTAAGCGACATTGCAGGAGAGTCGGGCACAAAAATGGATTTGGACTTGCTTTCCAGCGGGCAGCACATCTGAGGCAGATTCGCAATCGGTTGCCCACTTGTGCCGAAATGCCTTGGGGCCAAATTAAATATTCTGCAAATTGTTATGCTCCCCAGATACAAGCAAATTAAATGTCTCTTAATCTGGCTTCGCCCAGACGGGTTAATAAATATTCCCTTTCGGTCGCCGTGGAGGCACACATAAATTCAGAAATTTGGTTGCAGGCCAAAAGCAAACGAAACGTAATGCAGTACTCATACGTATATGTGCGGAATTTAGAGGGGGTAGGGAAAATGTCTGACATGATCTGAGGAAATCAGGAAACGCGCGGCATTTACATAATTACTGAATTACTAAATACCACAAATGATCGAGTTCTGGCCGCGTTTCATTAAAAGCCCGAGCGCCCAAGAGTACAGAGTAGAGTCCGAGTACAGAGACCCCGCGATGAGGCAGAGTCGAGGAATGCGCCACGTCAAGTGAAGTGAATATCAACGAACGACCTTCAACATGAAATGCGACGTAAAATAAACTTATCTCAATTATATACGCCACCAGATCTATATACTCGGCCGCCTCTCCGAGGAAATCGGATGGATTCGCGGATTCGCGGTGCGGGCGAGTAACTTTCAAGACGCCACTGAGAGATTCTTTCGGCCCGCCGTTGCCGCTGCTTTGGTTTACATTCACCATTCAGCATTCAGCATTCACCTTGGCAGCGCAGTTCGAATCCAAAGCAAAATACGAGTTTATTTTTGAATATTTTCAGTCGGCGGTGGCGAAAAAAAGAAATGAGAAATGCTTCCCTCCAACCGGCAGGCCTCCCTAAAACGAACGCATCGTTAATAAGTTAAGGGCCAGGGCTCGCAAATCACTGATTGACTATCGATTTTGCACACCCACTTCTGCCAATCTTCAGTTGGTTTTATCTGTAAGTGAGTATATATCCAAGGATATAGAGCGGAATTTAAAATATGTATAATATTTTAATAGACTTCACTGTTTGCAACGAAGAGTGGTTTCCAAAGATTGTTTGAATGGGAAATGTTTATAATGTATTTCGGGACCAGTTGTTTTTCAATTCGAATATATTATTCATTCTTATAAATCTTCACTGTGTGCAGCGAATTCTTCCTAGCAGAGAAATATGTATATTTCGCTCATCTAATGACGCTACAATCAGGCGCTGGCCAGCATTTTTATGCAGATTTCTTGTTTAAATATTTATACAATATCGGCGTGCTCCCCTGCCTTCAGGGCAAACAATAAACGCTGGAAAATGTATAAAACGAACTACATTTAAAATATAATAGGAGCCGCTTGTCTGATTTATTTGACTAGAGTTTGTGTATACAAAAGGGGAAAAAATCGTGAAAATATTTTTATTAAAAGTCCACGTGTTGGTTTTCCCTGCGGTTTGGCAATTTCCGCTGGTAATGCTTTCATTTCCTCTCCGGTTAAAGAGTCTTTTTTCCGAAGACTTGCCCTAATTGCCCAGACGAGCTGGGGAAAGGAAATTGAGAAATCGGCTTATGCGCCATTAGCACATTATTCAGCTGAGACAAGCCCAAGATAGCCCTGCACTCGGAAAAGTGTTTTCACCGGGGAAAAGGTCGGCCAATCGGTCAGGTTGCCACCTTTGCCGCAGGTAGACAGGCATTTCCGTTTGTTGTTATATGCCAATTTTGGAAAACTGCCTGGGAAAACTGCAAACGCGTTACCCTTTTCCCGGCCGACTGTGTGGATTGGATGGCACTAAATCAGGCGGGTTCTGCTCCGCTCGTGTTACGAGTTTTTTTTCGGGCCGGGTTCCTTTCATTTTTGGAATTGCCCGACGCTGGACATTTTTCATGCCAACCCGAAGCCCCCGCCCCCGCCCACTTCCCCTTCCTGGTGGCCCAACTACTTGACACTTCCTTTTCCCCTCGGAAGCCTGGGCTTCTCTGCCACTCGCCTTTGTCTCCGAGCGCCTAAGCCACTGGAAACACAGTTACCGCAGTTGCCCAACGCTCATCGGGTGTGACATTTATCCTTCATCGTCTGCCCTTCCCTTCGGCTTCAGTTCAGCTTTAATTCGCCAGACAAAAAATAAATTCGGCCCTCTTTTGTTTTATGCGTGAAATTTATTGCTTCTGACAATGGGAACGGCGTCGCAAATGTTTCCTGATCACAGTTCGCCTTATCTGGTCCCTTTTCGCCCCCACTTTTCCGCTTTTCCCAGCACTCACTGCCGTATTTTATTGAAATTCATGTATTTTTAAAAGCCCACTGCCCGGGATGCGGCTCTAAATCGTTTAAGCATTTGTTTCCACCATTCACAGCTTGATTTCGCCAGATCCGCTCTGCAGTTGTGCTCGGCTTGTTTTTTATCTGTGCATAAAAGTTAATGTTTTGCATCGACATCGCCATTCCCATCGCCATCGGCATCATCGGCCGAAATGTTTATTGTTTTGGCCCTGTATTAAAGCGTAGTTAGCTGCTGATAAGTTAAATGGCCAAAAAGGAGGGATCGAAAACAGCTGCTAAGCCGTAGATTTGGGCTGATTTGATTTGTCTATTTGCAGTTTGGCTTATGTGGACTTTGGGGAAGAGGCAATGGAAAGAGTTATCGCCCCAATCTCTGGCAAGGAATCTACAATAATTACACTGGCTGATTGACACATTTATCAGTTAGGAGTACACATATAGCGAATCGCTGACGACGACTCTTATCACAGCTCGCTATACTATAGCCCTTATCGGGGTTTCGGCTTTTGCAGAGCTGCAGACTTACCACCTTCCGGCTCTGAGTCATCTATGTAGATCATGTTGCTGCGTCGCTTGCCGCCGGCTACCCGCAATCGCTGACCCGTTGTGCTGCTGCTGGCTGAACTGGATTATCCACGAAACTTTCCCGCACTCACTCCCTTGATTTTAGTGTTTGTTTCTCGCTTGGTTTTTCACAATACCTAATGGCTTCTGTAATTACTCATCACTCAACATTTTGCGCGTTTGCGTTTTCACTTCACTGGCTGCATGGACTCCGCCGAACCACTTGGTTTTGCGCACTTAAAAAATGGCACAAAGAACGATTCTTTATTTATAGCTGGTATGGCTGGTCGGCGCGCACCACGTTGCGTATGCTTGATATTAGCGCAGAATTCGGTTGCCAGCGCCACTATTCGCTATCCGCTATTCGCTATTCGGTATTTCGCTATTGCTATGGCTATTGTGTCATCGCGAGCGAGCGTTTTGCCTCAAACTGTTCTGGCCTGGCCCACACTATTTGATTTGAGCTGTTTTCGCTGCCGCTGCCACTGCCGCTTCTGCCGCTGCCTTTTGCCAATACGGTTCCTTTGTGGTTTGATGTGCTTTCGCCTGATAACTGCCGCACTGAGAGAAACGCTCGATCGACTCTCCGCGTTCGCGTCTATAAATAAACAAACACAGGCGCAAATATAGGGGCAAACCTCGGCCGCACATCCACACACACACGGCTATTTGTATTGGCTTCGTTCCGTATAAAAATAAATTGCAGAGCCATTTGTTCGCTCCGCTCTCTTGGCCATCCGCTCGTTTGCGGCTTGTTTTCGTACGCGAATGAAAATCATTTCGCCTGTTGTCGCCTGCCGCATTTTCTACACTTTTTCCCGTATTCTTTTTGGCAACAGAACGGCTAAATGCGACATTAGTATGAGTTCCTGTTCTAGCAGATTTTTCAGTGCTCTCGCCCGATTCCCATTCCCATTCCCAATTGTCACTCATCAGCAACTTGTTGCCCTGTGCTTGTCATATTTGGCTAAATCACTTCTTGGCTACCTTTATACTAAAAACTTTTAGCTGCTAATGTAGGTGTTCAGGCAACAAATTAATTGAGTACAACAATTAATAACAGAGACAAATTTATAGGGCATTTATTCGCCCGTTTTCAAAGATTGTAGGAACATTCCAAGCTGCTTACAGCTCATCATTTATAAAAGAATTCATTTGCGAGCTTTGGGTACATAAAGAAACGCGATAAACACAGCCGTAAATCTCTGGCATTCCAATCTCCTGCCACTATTTCCCATGTCTCCCGAAAGTGCATGTTTCCCATTGTGTCTGCTACAGGTGTGAACTATAAATAATGGCAAAGCCGGCAATTATCCAGCCTCGTTATTAAATTATGCCCGTCTATATTTATATGGGTTACGGGTACGTGGTTCCCGTCTTTCCCGAAGCCGTAGACTGTTCCGTATCTTATCAAACGGAAGAAAGCCCGTCGGCGGAACGGGGGGCATGCGTCATGGTCGCACACGAAGTCAAACATAAATAGATTGCACAGTGGCACCAAGTACGCCGCTTGGGAGTGGATTTTCTGCCAGATAAGGTATTTCTTTCCCGCTATTAGTATTTCGAGAAGTAAGCAAACTTTTTGCTGTGATATATCGAATCTATCGAATTTTTAAAAACCTAGTTAAATTCAGACTCACATACGCTTTTAGGTTGCTGTGATAGCGAACATTTTGATGGCCAATGGCTTGTATTTCCTACTCTGTTTCCATGGCTGACTCTCTGTCTAATTGGTTGGCGGTGGGTGAGAATGGTAGTGGGATGGCTTAAATCGCTTTAAGAGTGCCAGTGCCTCATAAACAATAACAAAGGCTGAGCCGAAAGCGAACAAGCCGAAGCCTTGGCCATAAAATTACGTATACGCGCAGTTGGCAGCTGCAGCCATAGAACTTCCCACTTTCCGCTCCCCACTTTCCGCTTCCCACTTTCTGCTTCCCACTTTCCCCTCCCCACTTTCCCCTCCCCTCTTTCCCCTCCCCACTTTCCCCGCACTCTCTCCACTCCGCCGATTCGGTCAGTCGCCTCCGCCGGCGGCAGAGGCAAAGGCAAAAAAACAAAACGCCGCCAGGTCGAGCCACTTGATGCGAACGTGCCCGGACAACGGTGTGTGGTTGGAAAACGTGTGCCCGAAACTCCTCCAATTCCGAATCCCGAAACCCCAATCCCCAATCCCCGAACCCACTAGCCCAGCCACCCACAGATGGCCACTCCAGGCCTTAAAGTTTTCGGCCAGAGTCCAAGGCAAACAGAGCGGCTGGCGCGCTAAGCTGCGTTTTGATTTGCAGCAGGCCAAGTGGTCAGGGCTGTTGGCCAGAAATTGGTTTGGGCCCCAATCCTCCCCGCTTTCACGTCACGGGCTTCCGCTCCTGGCTGCGCTTTGAATAATGCAAATCCCTTAAATGCGCTAAACGCAGCTGGCAGTCGCTCCTCCTCTCGTTTTTTTCGCTTCGATTGAAAACTGCGTTGGCGGCACGTTTTGTTTTAGAAACTGCTCTGCCTTGGGGTTGAGTTACTCGTTTGATTGACACTTTGATATTTGAATGTTGCACAACATACTGACTTATTATGCAGAGATCGATTAATATCCTATTAATATGTGTATGTATACATTGCAAATCACTTTGTTTGGATAAATTAAAAGATAGATGAAGTTATAAACGCAATCCCCAAAATATCTATACAGGAATAGGGAGTAGTGCAATTAGTTTCCTCCCATTTTACTAAATCCTAATCTCGGGCAAGGGAAACGAGAGTTCTTCACAGAGCGAGGAAAACTTTTCACTACAATTTAGTTGATTTGTTGGTGTTTCGCTCGCTTGTCGTTGTCACTGCAGTTTATGTTGTTCTGCCCTGTTTTCTGTTTGTTTTTGGGTTTGTTCCGACTTCGCACCTTGTCGGCCAGGTGAAAAGGCCATCGTTATTGGGAGCCGGTGTTGTGGCAGCACCACAGCTTCTGCTGCCGCTTTGGGGTGCACCGAATTGTTTAGATGTGCCCACGCAGCAATATTTTCACTTTGCCATGGCTTTTTACCGAATTTTTCGTCGAAAACTTTTCACCTTGCGAATGTTTACATATCAGTGCGAACTGCCGCTCCGCTTGATTTTTTGGAAAATTGACAAATTCCGCCGGCCGACAACTGGCAACTCGTCTTCCCTCTCGCTCATTGCACGCGCAACTGTTTCGGAATGCTCGAAAATATTTTTCAATTTCAATTTCAGTCTAGTTTTGGGCCCTCGGCACCGCCTCGTTGCGCTATTTTCGTACCCCTTTCCCATTCCCTTTCCCGTTCGCGTTCGTTTCGAAATTTCCCCCCGCTTTCCGCCGAGTTTTCCGCGGCGCAACATGAAGTCAATGTGTTTACCTCGCTAAACTTCTTTGCGTGCTAATAATAAACCAGCAAACAACAAGCGGCAACAACCGACAATCGGACTTCGGCAGTGCAACAACGCATCGCTGGTCCATTAGCCCCGTTCTCTATTTTCCATTTTCCATTTCCATTTTCAGAATGTGGGAGGCGGTGTATAGTACTTTTCCTTGGCCAAACGTGCGGAGAAGCAGGCAAACATTTCTACTTCCAAAGCGCTCGATAGAAAAACATGTTGTGTAGCCTTGTTCGGCAAAGGAAAATAAAATTAAATTGTTTTGCTTTTAATTTATTTTTTATCGATGTAATCGAACAAGTAATATCAACTACTGATGATCAGATTGTATCAGAATGCTTGGAGATTTAAAAGATATCGCTTTATGATGACACAACACGCAGTGAACAGATATAAAACCCAATGCATTCAGTTGGTTTTGCATTATTAAGAACAAACAAGTTGCAGGAGAATGCTTTTTCCTGGGATTCCACTGTTGCTGTTTTTCGCTTCTTTGGTAAGCAATCAAGCAACCAAAACTCGAATTGAAAAGAACTTAAACCCAAGGAGCAGGTGCGAGCCAAATATGAGAGTCGACTGGAGTCGATTAAAAGGATCGACGGAGACACCGAAACGCTGTTCGAGTTCAACTTGCGGGTCATTGGACGGGACAATCTGGCGAATGGATCCATGAACTTCCTGGCTGACCTGTCCGACGAGTTCGAAGTGTCGACCCTGCTGTATGTCCTTCAGCGCGGCGAGTGGAGGTCCTCGAACATCGGCGTTTGCTACAAGTCCTGCACTTACATCGCGATCATTTACGCCACCTACTTCGCGCCCTCCTTCAAGGACTCCAACTTCCCGATCGACAAGGAGTCGTGCCCCATCAAGAAGGGGGAGTACTACGTAAGGAACGCAGACCTGTCCGGCGCCACTTGGGCCAACTTTGGCAAGACGGGCCTGAACAAGTGCATCATCACGATTAGAAAGGACGACGTGGTCTTCGGGGGATTGGAGGTCGTCGTGGTCCTAACGGAGCAGCGTTTCTAGACTTGGTCTTAGACCAGCAGTAAAACTGCGGAAATGTGTTTGCAATTTCTCTAAATGACGCACCACGATTGGATTGAAAATAGTAAAACAAGGAACGCTATGTTTTGGCCGAGGGTGGTACATGTTGTGGCATTTGGGAATTTATCACTTATTTTTGGCCAGAGCGCGTTAATACATTCTGATTTCTTGTACTCTGCTCTCCGCCGAGTCGGCAGCCTTGCGTTCTGCATTCCACCCACTCAGCGACCACAGCGAAATTAGCCATCGCTTCAAATCAATTTGGTGGCTTTCCCCTTGGCCCTCGCGTCCAGTTTTCCGTCCACAGTTTCTGGGTCATTAGTGGGAAATATGCGGAGAACGCAGACAAAGGCAGATATTGATTCGATTCGCAGCGATCGCAGTGCGTGGTCCCAAATTAGCCGCTCTGTGGATGCCACCAGCAAGACAGCCGTAGAGCGCTTTGTTCTGACTTCTAAGGTCGTCGGCGAGTCGTTGACTGGCGCCAAGACTTATGACACTTCCCATTGGGCATATACTCGTACGTATATGATATCTGGGGTCCGTGGCTGTATCTCGCCGTCGAAAATAAACGGCTGGCCTTTACACGGCTCGTTGACAGCCGGAGATCAATGTCGCAGGGGAATCGCGTGGTGCGACGGACCTTGCAGCTTGAACTTGCGACAAGTGGGGCAATGACTTGATTTGCCAACAAGTCCGGCGTCTTTTTTTCTAGTGTACTCTCCTCTTCTTCTCTTCGTGGACTTCCGGCGGACTTGTTTACGTCTAACTGCCGACCGCGTAAACAAATGCACAGGTGAGTCGTATTTTTAGCCGGACACGACCTATTTGGATCGGATCGGTGGCGTCAGTGATGCGGCACTTCATCTGCCTGATTTGCGTCGGCTGGTAAGTTGTAAATCGTAGATGGTAAATACATTTAATTGGCACTTCTGCCGGCTGTCTGGCAGCTGAGTGCCTCGTTTATCATGGGGGACCGAAGGTCCATTGCTGCCGCTTCCAACTGTCAGAGGCAGAGGCGGAGGACCATGGAAAGTTTGGAGACGGAGAAGTTCTGCGGCCAACCGCAAAACAATTAATTTTGATTGCCTTTTAAACCCTTTGAGGGGGAGCAGAAGCGGGTGGAGTGGGTGGCGTTGGGGGACGGAGGAACGTGCGTCGTACACTCGACTTTCTAATCCGTTCCGGCAAGTTTTGTATCTCGGCACGTACGCTCCAGCACGCCCACTTTTCACTCCGGGATCTCCCCTCTTTCCCCTTTCGCCTCTCCATTTCCATTGCCAGTTCCACTTCCACTTCCACCTGGCATCCCAGGACTCAGCTGAACTGTCATGAATTGCAGGGAATTTATTTTACCGCAAGGACTGCTTTTTGATGTTGCCTGCGGAGCGTTCGGGGACTTCTTTTGGCCAACAATGGGCAGGCCAGCCACTTGGTTCACTTCTTTATTTGCCTTCGGTTCAACTTAAAGTCTCATTTCATTGATTGAAATTTCGCATTGTTTAAAGGAAAGGTGCCTCAGCACTTTGGCATTCGAGAATAAATATTTAAAGGCCGCCACTTCCAGTTGATGGCGTCATTTCAGCGACTGCAGTCGACTGGGGGAAAATTCGAGAGAGAGAAGGCGTGAGAAAATAAAGCGGAAATGTAGGGAAATGCACAACGAATGCGGCGCCCAAAAGTCGGCTGTGAAAAGCGATTCGGCGGGAAATCGAAATACAGGGAATATGGCTGAAAAGCAGCATGAACAGCATTCGATATTTTAATAGCTTATAACTGGTAAATTCATTACCTCAAATGGACTTGCTGGTAACCAGATTAAACGATTCGATTTAAACACATTTTCATCGAGTTAACCTGAAAGTTTCATTATTATGCGAGCGTGCTGCTTGAAATAATAGAACCAAAACGCAATTTGGGGCGATTGCGGCAGCAGCCATAAATTTAATGCAAGCCAAACAATGTGCAGTATGAAAAGGGGGCGTGGCAGGCCGGTGTCCTGGGAAAAAATCTCATCAGCGAGCTGCAGCGAAACGGGAGAAATATTGAATGCAATTTTATTTGCCGCACACAGTAGCGATGCTCCAAAGCAGCAAAGCGTTTGGCGAACTGCCGGGTGAATTATGGAGATGCATCATATTATTCCGCGGCTCCTGCTCCCCAGGATTCCCCCCGAAAGAAAGAAGGAAGGATTCCTCCTCCAGGAGCACCTTCTGCGGAATGTGTGAGGGCGTGCGTGTAACTATGCTACTTACTGTCTGTTTGCTTAAGGGGCTGCCTCCGCCAGACGCTCTCAAGTGCACAGCGAGAAATACGAGTGCACTCTGTGTACAAGTCTTGGAAATCATAAATACCCTTTCTACTTTAACTGGGCTGTAAGGAAAATAAATGGTTTGCCAACCCCAATAAAAGAATTGCGTGTTTGATGGCCTGAGTTAAGGAGTAACCGCTAGTGACTTTTCAGTATTTATGATTTCTCTACACCTGGCCAAAACAGGAGGGATACTACTATGCTATTCGGTTTAAACGGGAAAACCCCGTGTACATCCCAACGCTGGCTGAGCATCGCGAGTTCCTCCGGAGTGGAGCCTTTTGCCAACCGCATGCAGCTTGATAAAAGACGCAGTCATGGCAACCCACCTGCCACTAAATGAGTTAACGTGCTGGCATGTGGAAGGTGGGTGGTGGGTGGTGGGAGGTGCCCCTGCCAGTCCAAAAACCCCTCGGATGTTTGTTTGCTTGGCTTTGCTGTTTACGTGCAGTCATGCGAGACTCCGGCCCAAACCCCGACTTTTCAGCTGGAGTCTGCTTCAATTGTTGTCTGTCGCCAAAGGACCAGCACCACCACCACCGCCACCTTCACCGCCCACTGCACGCCCTATCTCATCAAAATCCAGTTTAAGATTTTTGATTTAATTCCGCTTTTGTTCGCCAGTCAGTCGGTTTCTGCTCATGCCATGTGTACTCTATCTGGCTTTGGACTTGCCAGCCAAATTTGTTTGTGGCCGTCAAAAGGCTGTCCTGCCGGAGACACATGAACTTGTGAAGGATCCTCCAGCACTGTCTAGCATTTGCTGTATCAAAACAGAGCTCCATCTCTGAGTGCTCCAATCAAATGTCAACAATTAAATACATTTCTGCAGTAACATCAAGAGCTTGAGCTATTAAAGTCCACCTGAAAGTTAAGTTTTCTACCAACTTTGATTTAAAATACGAAAGAAACTAAATAAAATTCATTCAATTGAATCCGTTTATTGCTCTCGGGGCTCTACCAAAATAATTGATAGAAACAATTAAGTTATTGAACAATTTGTTCAGCGTTGGAAAACATTGAAGTGGGCGTTTGGTTGCGACAGGTCAAATTGGAGGGCCAAAGGGCGAATGCAGACGAAAACAAATCTGTTTTGCATCGGTATGAAATATGGCCAGGTCCAGAGTCACAATCAGAGTTATTGAAACAGATTGAGGCCGACAGGTAAGCAATGTCAATGGCATCCAGCAAATCAAGTTAGGCACGCTGCACTGGGCAGCACGACATCGGAAATATCCGCAAGTATGCAGCAGAATCTCTTTTGGCCAACAATGGCTGGCGCAGCAAATCAAATCACGGCAAATTAGTTGTAATTCAATTGCCGACAGTCGCCGTCTGAATCGCCTTGCCTCCGCCCTCCATTCCCCATGCTGGTTGGGCTCCTAATCCCCTTAGGAGCCCGGCGAAAACTTGTTGATACTGCGCGGCTATATGTATCGTATCTACAGCCACATACGTGGCTTGGCTCTGGGGACAGCCCTCGACCCGCAGCTCATACACTTGCTGCCACCTCCGGGCGGATCCACGCGCTGGCCGACAAATATTTGACGTTTTAGTCTAATTAAATTAGCCCAGCGCCGCTCGGCCCTCGGCAAAGGTATAAATTTCCGCGCGGCAGTCGCAGCGTGTAAATTTCGCAGGTGGCAGTCGCGGGTCGCAACTCGGCGGGATTCCTCAGGACCAGGAGCAGAAAAACGGGAGTCCGTTCGGTTCTTGGCGTATTGTTATAAAATACTCGCACACACACAACTCATATTCTTAGCCCACCTAAGCCGGTCCCATGAAATTTCAGCGTCCATTGTGCCAGCGAGTCGAACAATTGCACACGTTTTTATGTGCCGGAATGCAAGAAGTACGTATCCGAGTATCCGATTCTCCGGGTATCCGAGTATCCGTGTATCCGTGCGGCTTTAAGTGGCTTAAGTGCAGTCCGAGAGCCGGCTGAATTACGTAGTTGTGTCCCTCATTCAGGGAGCCCTGGCTCCTTGGCTGTGGAGTCTGTGCCTCTGTGTGATTTTGTGGGATTTTGTGGTCTCCGAATGTGGAGTTCGTAATAAGCCCTTGCTGCATGCGAATGCAAATGGTTAAAGTTTTAATGAACCAAAAATGTACTGGAGCTTTGATTGCCTAACAGAGCGGTGTAAATATTAAACAAAGAACGAAAACTTGTACTTTTCGTGTTGGGTTTTCCGTGGGTTTGCAAGGTTCGGTGGAATTTTCCCTGTGCAATTGCTCCAGGCGAAGGGCTATAAATCCATTTATAAACGCTTGCCATGAAGAGCCAGATAAAACCGAATTTATTGTGACGTTTTTATGTCTGCTGTGCGGTTCCACCTGTCCTCGCACTTATATTTCTATTAAGTTAATTAAACAATGCACCATCGGCCACCGTGGCATTCGGAGAGCCTTTTGTCCGGACAGGAAGTGTTTTTTGGTGGAGCGAGCCCTGCCTTTTTTTGGCCGCGTATGCAAAGCACTTGCATTTTTTATGAGCGACCCAAACACTTTTAAATGCATCTGCAGCATCCGCACTCACATCCGCATCCGCATGAGCAGGAGCATAAAGCCATTTTAAAGCAAAAGCATGTAAACGGAGTGGCTTTTTTCTTTGCGGATTACCGATCGGTCGACGCTGCCGAAAAAACCTCCTTAAATATTCATTTTGGCATTGTTCACACATGCGGAGGGGAGCGGCAAAATAAAAATATCCGCAGCGTGGGCCTGGGAAAATATTGCGGAACAAAGAGCCGCTGAAAATTATTTCTAATGGGAAATCGATTGGCGGTGATGTAAACAATCGAATGAGAGCGAAAAATCCAAAAAAAAAAAATGCAGCTGGTCGTGGCTAATAAGGGAAATGCAATGGGAATGCTTTCCATCGGGAAAATGTATAATAAATCGAAACAGAAAGTGATTGAGCAATAGAAGGGAAATCAGTGCTCGCGAAACACAATTTGTATTGCCATTGCCATTGCCAATCCGTCCGCGGGGTCAAGAATTCCGAACACATTCCTAATCAACTGGCAAACTTAACTCGACTCCATGCAGTTGGCACTCGAAAAAGGCTTAGCTGGCCAACTAAAAACACTATAAACAGCTTAAATAGAAACTTTTTGCCAGCCGGAAACCAGAAACCATAAACCAAGTCGAAACCCAGCAGACACACACAGAACCAGACTCAGTTGGACATAACTATAGGTCGAAATCAACTTGAAAGTTGCATTTGGCCCGGCTTATATCGGACTTTTTTGGCTTAGCCATTGTGAATACTCGTATGTGTGATACTATATGTGTTATATGTGCTGTATGTAAATACCGTGCAGTTGCCGTGTGTGTGAGCCCTGCGACTCGGAGCCGGAGTTTTGAACTCTGAACCCGGACAGTGTACATGGAATATTAATTACTGCCTCCTTCTGTCGAGCGAGGCGTTCCCTCCCGGAATGGGTCGCAAAAAGAAGCTGCCGACGGGCGTAAGTAGCAACCAGAGTCGATCAATACAGAAGCACCCCCGCACCAAAAGCCGCAAGCTTTGCTAGAACGCCGCTTCCTTAAACGCTCCCGCCATCTAGAAGGAGCCCGGGCATCCCGCCCGGCAGCCATCAGCCCCATCGCCCAGCAGCCCCACTTTGCACTTAATTTTGCGTGTGTTATTTTTTATTTATTTGCAATCCGCCCTCTCGGCTCCCCGCTACCCACTCCCCACCCCCCACACACATGTGCTGCCCTTCGCCGACTCACCTGCTCGAAATGCGGCAGGTATCGTCTGGCGGCAGCAACGCCGCCGCCCCCAAGTCGGTGGGCGGGTTCTGTGTGCCGCTGGGACTGCCGCAGCCCCTGCTGCTCGAGGAGAAGAAGTTCCTGCTGGCCGTCGAGCGGGGCGACATGCCGAACGTGCGCAGGTGAGTAGCGCTTTTTCCGCAGGTGGGCGGCGTTACCAGGGGAAGGGAGCATACACTTAGAGCAAAGAAAGTCTTGAAGTTAATTATATATTGTTCTAAAGTGCGTGATACTTCGATGTGAATCATCCTTGCAAAACTGATTTAACCCAAGCCATAAGTGGTAACTAGTAACTATCCCTCCGAGTATTTGAATCCACCCACACTGTTACCCGATTCCGCTGAGTGCAGACATACCCTCCTCGATTTCACAGCCCCACTCCTGTGGCGCGGTATCACGAGATCCATAGGCGTCGTCCCCGGGGAAGCACAGGTGTTGACTGGGTTGGGCCGACAGGAAGCACAGGTCCCCTTTGGGAGCCACCTCGGGATGTTTGGCTGTGGTGCCGGAGGTGGTTTCAATTATTTGCTCAGTCGCCCGCCACTGTTGTGGGCCCCGAAATGGTTAGCTAACTCGCATCCGCACGCCACTTAATAAGCAGTGTAAGGACTCATCCGACCCACATACGCCCATTCGCGCTCCTTTACGGCTTTACTTTAATAAATGTACAATTAATTTCGCTGGCAATGAATACGAGACAAGGTACTCGCGCCTCTTCGCTAGCTCGTCCAAGAAAGTGAGGGAACAGTCCTCTTCGAATTTACTTTCGCCTTTAAATTGAATGTAAATAATGCAGGGTGAACAGCACAATTAAAGTAAGATCAAATCATAAATTTAAGTTCAATGGGAATTTCCAAAAGATTGGATTTTAATGTTAGGATAATAATTAATTGGGTTTTACCCAATTTACAGATACAGAAGGTGGCTTTCTACCAGATTAGCCACCAAGTTCCGGAAGCCTTAACTTATATTTACTATAACAGGGAAAGTGTTAAGGGATCCACCGCACATTCTCGGCTACTTTTTTGATAAGATGCAGTTTAAAAATTTTAAATCCACAGCAAATTAATTGGTTTCGTGGACGTAAAACCAATATTTAAGACATAATTTGTGCTTTTTCAACAAAATTTAAATTATTAAATGCCTTTCTTCTAATCCCAGTATATATACAAGTAATTATTTTCAGAAAGTTATGGTTTTATTTAGAAAAGAAAGTTACAAAAGTTGGTGGTTCTCAAGCCGAAACTCCGGAATTCAAATTTCGAATTGCGCGCTCTTATGCATGAAAAGAAGAAGACTTTCCGCAGGCAAATTGTGTTGAATTGAATTGCGAACACCAGGCGAACATAACCGCTTAGCAGGTGTAAATCGATCAGCTGATCAGTTTAAGCTAGGTTTTTTAGTGACGGTCACGTGACACAAATTCTTGTAACGCCAACAACAACCACATGAAAATTTATTAATTACTTGTGCGTGGCGTGCCCCTCTCGTGACACGCACAAAGAATCAGCGTGGTTTCCCATCTCTAGTCTGATGGTTACTTTTAAATAACGGTACCTTCCAGCGAGATGACTTTCTGATTGGTGTGGACAGGGAGGGGAAGCGTAACAAGGACAGCTATCTTATGAAAAGAACAGTTATTTGAATAAGATCAGATTTACCAGCTGCAACCTGCTGTTAGTTATGTTGGCCTGGTGCATAAAATCGATTTGTATAGAAAAATCGGCTATATTTGGGCCCCATATACCAGGCAAACAAAACTTCGAAGTAGGTGAATGCGCAGCAGCGCTTTTGTGTATGAAAACAACAACACTTTTCCCATACAAATTTGGACGTTTCTAAACCTTAACACCAGGCAAACATAATCGCTTAGCAGGTGAAAATCGATCAGCTGATCAGTTTAAATTTGGCTTGTTCAGTGTTGAGCGCGTGACAAGTGATTCTTGTAACGCCAACAACAACCACATGGAAATTTATTTATTACTCGTGAGTGGCGTGCCACTTTCGTGACACGCGCAAAGAATCAGCGTGGTTTCGCATCTCTGGTCTGATACTTACTTTAAAGAAACGGTACCTTCCAGCGAGATAACTTTCTGATTGGTGGAACAGTGTTTCCCCTCACTCCAAGTGCAGCCAATTAAAAAAAAGAACCGTTATTTGAGTAAGATCAGATTTACCAGCAGCAACCTGCTATGGAGTTATGTTGGCCTGGTGCATAAAATCGATTTGGAAAGCAAATTGAGCTGATATTAAGACGCCAAATACCAGGAAAACAGAAATTCGAAGTAGGTGAATGCGCAGCAGGGTTCTTATGTATGAAGAGAGCCGCTAAGAGAGTGTAAGCGATCAGCTGATCAATTTAAACTAGATTTACAATTAATTCTTGTAACGCCAACAACAATTACATAAAAATTTGGTTATTACTCGGACGCGGCTTTTCGGACGATTAAAAAATTGATTATTGGTCTATTTTCGCATTTTTGGTAAGGGGTAACGTCATCATTTTTTGCGAAAAATTACCAAGTTTCAACATTTTTAGGCAAGGATGCCATTAGATTGAAAATTTTATTACAAATTGGCTAGACAGGAAACGACTTAAGTATAGTTTTAAAAAACAGGCAGCTCAATAATCTATTCAATTGAATGCAATTAAGTTGTCATTTAACTGATCCTTTGGTTAGTTGATGAAAACCACTTTGGAAAAGATTTGTTGACAATTTTGGTAAAAAAGGCAAGGTGATGTCATTTATGAACAACTCTTTATTGTTTTCATTGGTGGGGCAAAACTCTGACAACGAACGAGCTTGTGGTGTCCGGTGTCCTTGATTCTCTTCCTGTTTCGGTTCCCGTTCCTGTCGGGGTTCCCTTCTCGGGTTGGAGGCATGCATGGTGGCGCCACGAGCTGGCGTCTCTTGTGGGATGTGGAATGTGCTGCTGAGCCGATGGGGCTCCTGTCGGTACTACTACTTCTTGTGCTGATTCTGGTGGGCGCTGGCTTGTGGTGGGGGCTAATCCTAGTGCTGGATCCGGTGGATTCGGTGGATGTGGGTGGGGCTGCGGCTGCTGCGAGGCGGCTCTCAAAAGTTGATGTAGCGGTAGGGGTTGTAGCTTTTCATCTCGTCCAGGGTGTAGCGGTAGCGGATGCCCTTCGGGGGGCTCCTCCTCGGACCCGTTCGAGTCGTCCTCCTTCTCGCGGATCTCGTTCAGCCGCTCCACGCGGATGCCCTTCATCTGGCAGGCGCGGCGGTACAGCTGCTCCTCGCGGTCCATGTAGAACTGGCACGAGACGGCGTGGTGCGGAGGCGCCGGCGGAGGCGTCAATGGGGGAGCCCCGAAGGGGGCAGCCCCCGCTCCGTAGGCCGCCGGGTTGTACCAGTTGTCGCCCAGTGCGGCGCCTGTTCCCAACTTCACTGTCTGCGTCTCTGCGGGATTCGGAGTGCGATTTGGATTACAGATGGACGGGGATGGAGATTGGGGGGAACACTGATCGGCCATCGCGTACTCACCCTTGTTCTTCTGGGTCATCTTGATGACCAGGCTCTGACCCTCGACGGCTTCCATTTGGTGTCGATTTTGCAGATCCACTGGGCTTACGAATAATTTAATCGCCTAATGTTGGGGTGCTATGTGCTCACTTCAATCGCGTCTTGAAAAGCGGACTCCGTTTCTTTGAATTTAGTACAACAATTTATGTTGACGAACGATCGTAAAATGAGAGATTTCTGCCCGAACTGACTGGCAGGTGCCAGCAAAAGGTGACAGCTCGCCTCCAGGGTAACTAGATTTCGATTAATTGGCAGGCAGTGTTGCAAAAAAAAAAAACCGCTTCGTGCCATGTACATAACTTAATTGGGGAAATCTCAACTCAAGACCCATTTCTCGACCTCATTCTCCGCCAGCTGGGAAAACGGACCCGATATGAGTTCCTTTTTGGCACCCGATTGATTGGCAAACTTTTCTGTTGGCCGCGGCCGCGGCAGCAGCAGCGATGTAATTAGAAACTTTGGCTCCAACTTTTGACTCGACTGGGGGAACAGGGGGGAGGGAGGGTCGCCCAAAATAAGGAAAGAAAAGTTGGCGGTCCGTTGTTAAGTAAATTCCGATAATTGCAGGATCCTGCAGAAGGCGCTGCGCCACCAGCACATCAACATCAACTGCATGGACCCCCTGGGCCGGCGGGCCCTCACCCTGGCTATAGACAACGAGAACCTGGAGATGGCCGAGCTGCTCGTCGTCATGGGGGTGGAGACCAAGGACGCCCTGCTGCACGCCATCAACGCGGAGTTCGTCGAGGCGGTGGAGCTGCTGCTCGAGCACGAGGAGCTCATCTACAAGGAGGGCGAGCCCTACGTAAGTCATTGTGCACTCGAAGAAACTGATGGGAGCTTTCTGGGCATGGAAGTTCGGAGTAGAGCCATCTACCTTTAAGCATTTTTTGCCTCGAAAGGGGAACTCACTTCAGTCAGCTCAGTTTCTCCCTGTGCGCCCTTTGTTTTGTCTGCTGTGCTCAGCTAATTTGTGGCCCACATTATCGTCCGTAGGCGTTGAGGCCCGGTAAGTTGGAGCTAACACGATTTTAATCAGTTTCCGAGTGGGAGTGGGAGTGGGAGGAGGGGAACTTGGAGCACTTGGTGTGCGCCACCCATCGGGCTCATGTTCGCCATTGGGCACGTACTCGCAGCATCTCGGTCCTCGAGTGATTGGGAGTGTGCGATAAGCGGCCAACGACCAAGAACCCCCACTTCCTCCAGGACAGGCAGGATACCCCGCATGCCCCCCTACTCCACTCCACGAGGTTTACGCTTATTGCAAATAAAGTCGTCTGGGCTTCCGTCGGCAAGGCTCGTATTTATGCACACAGGCACGCTTCATTAGGCAGCCATTGGGCGCCGTTGGAGCCTGAAAATTACTATTGTGGCGCATATGCAATAAAACGTTTAACAGGCTTAATAACACCGGCGAGCGGCGGAGACAACGCGCTTCGAGTGGACTGCGGAGTGATTTCGGGTCCTCTTTCGGGGAGTCAGCATCCGAGGTTGATGAGGTGTGTAGGTTGGTCAGAGGGGGAAGTCAGAAAAAAGTAAGGAAATAAATTTACAATAGGTTTGGATTTAGGTTTATAAAGTATGGTATCAGAATAAATGAAGGTAAATTGATATTTCATCATGGCTTGGCTATCTACTATAATGGGGGTAGAAAATTTAGGATTCATTCAGTTATTTTATTTGGTTATCCCCGCAGAGTTGGCAGAAGGTGGACATCAACACGGCGATGTTCGCGCCGGACATCACGCCCCTCATGCTGGCCGCCCACAAGAATAACTTCGAGATACTGCGCATCCTGCTGGACCGCGGGGCGGCGGTGCCCGTGCCCCACGACATTCGGTAAGTGGAGCTGTCGCACCAACTATGAATCCCTCATGAACCAAGTCCCCCGCAGTTGCGGCTGCGAGGAGTGCGTCCGCCTGACCACCGAGGACTCGCTGCGGCACTCGCTCTCGCGGGTGAACATCTACCGGGCGCTGTGCAGCCCCTCGCTGATCTGCCTCACCTCGAACGACCCCATCCTGACCGCCTTCCAGCTGTCGTGGGAGCTGCGCAACCTGGCGCTCACCGAGCAGGAGTGCAAGGCGGAGTACATGGAGCTGCGCCGGCAGTGCCAGAAGTTCGCGGTGGACCTGCTCGACCAGACGCGCACCTCCAGCGAGCTGGCCATCATCCTGAACCACGACCCGCAGATGTCCAGCTACGAGCCCGGCGACCGGATGAGCCTCACCCGCCTGGTGCAGGCCATCTCCTACAAGCAGAAGAAGGTATTTCCTAGACTCAGGTTCCTACACTCAGGTTCCCCGCACTCAAGCTCTCCTCCGCAGTTCGTCGCCCACTCGAACATCCAGCAGCTGCTGTCCTCGATCTGGTACGACGGACTGCCCGGGTTCCGGCGTAAGAGCATCGTCGACAAGGTCCTCTGCATTGGCCAGGTGGCCGTGCTCTTCCCGCTCTACTGCCTCATCTACATGTGTGCCCCCAACTGCCGCACCGGCCAGCTGATGCGCAAGCCCTTCATGAAGTTCCTGGTCCACGCCTCCTCCTACCTCTTCTTCCTGTGTGAGTATCCCACCTCCCTGCGGAGGACCCAACCAGCGGAGTGAGCATTGGTCCTCAGATCCTTTTAAATTCTTTTTGTGGACAGCTTGGGTTGACTTCTTGAGCTGTATGGTTAAAACAAGTTAATTTGGAAAGAAGGTTCTTATACCTTATTTGAAGTAACAAAGTCTGGTTGCTACTTACTTTGCAGTCATCCTGATCCTGGTCTCCCAGCGGGCGGACGACGACTTCGTGCGGATCTTCGGCACGGAGCGGATGCGGAAGGAGCTGGCGGAGCAGGAGCTGCGCCAGCGGGGCCAGCCGCCCAGCAAGCTGGAGCTCGTGGTGGTGCTCTACGTGGTGGGCTTCGTGTGGGAGGAGGTGCAGGAGATCTTCGCGGTGGGACTGAAGAGCTACCTGCGCAACATGTGGAACTTCATCGACTTCCTGCGCAACAGCCTCTACGTGAGCGTGATGTGTCTGCGGTGAGTTAGCATAATGCTTCTGAGTTCACAGGGTAATCCCTCTCCTATTGTTTCCCCATCAGGGCCTTTGCCTACATCCAGCAGGCGACGGAGATTGCCAGGGACCCCCAGATGGCGTACATCCCGCGCGAGAAGTGGCACGACTTCGACCCGCAGCTGATCGCCGAGGGCCTCTTCGCGGCGGCCAACGTCTTCTCGGCGCTGAAGCTGGTGCACCTGTTCAGCATCAACCCGCACCTGGGGCCGCTGCAGATCTCGCTGGGCCGGATGGTCATCGACATCGTGAAGTTCTTCTTCATCTACACCCTGGTGCTGTTCGCCTTCGCCTGCGGTCTGAACCAGCTGCTCTGGTACTTCGCGGCGCTGGAGAAGAGCAAGTGCTACGTGCTGCCCAACGGGGAGGCGGACTGGGGCTCCCACGGGGACTCCTGCATGAAGTGGCGCCGCTTTGGCAAGTAAGTCCAGTCAGCGGGCCAATTAAGCGCTGCCCCTGCCCACTGACCACTGCCCACTCATCGTGGTGATTCGACACGTGTTACATGTGTTCCCCCTCCTCCTCCTCCTCATCTTTCCAGCCTGTTCGAATCCTCGCAGTCGCTGTTCTGGGCCAGCTTCGGGATGGTGGGCCTGGACGACTTCGAGCTGAGCGGCATCAAGTCGTACACGCGCTTCTGGGGACTGCTCATGTTCGGCTCGTACAGCGTCATCAACGTGATTGTGCTGCTCAACCTGCTCATCGCCATGATGTCCAACTCGTACGCCATGATTGATGTGAGTGCGGTTCCCCTTCCCCTTCCCATTCCCTTTCCCGTCTGGTTCAGTCAACCCCTTTTTTTGCAGGAGCACTCGGACACCGAGTGGAAGTTCGCCCGCACCAAGCTGTGGATGAGCTTCTTCGAGGACAGCGCCACCCTGCCGCCGCCCTTCAACGTCCTGCCCTCCGTGAAGTGGCTCATCCGGGTGTTCCGCAAGTCGAGCAAGGCCATCGACCGCCAGCGCTCCAAGGTGGGTTCCAATCGAGTATTAAAACCACTGCAGTGAAGTGCAGCATCCCCTTCTTCGGCAGAAGCGACAGGAGCAGGAGCAGTTCAGCAAGTACGACAACATCATGCGCTCCCTGGTCTGGCGCTACGTGGCCGCCATGCACCGCAAGTTCGAGGACAACCCCGTCTCCGAGGACGACATCAACGAGGTGAAGAGCGAGATCAACACGATGCGCTACGAGATGCTCGAGATATTCGAGAACAGCGGCATGGACGTCTCCTCGGCGAACAAGAAGGAGCGGCGTAAGTGCTCCTCAATCCCTTATGGGACACCCAACCATCAATCCTCTATCCTCAATCCTCGGCAGAGCCTCGACCGCGGCGCATCAAGGTCTGGGAACGGCGCCTGATGAAGGGCTTCCAGGTGGCGCCGGTGCAGAGCAGCTGCGAGGCGGATGCCTTTGGAAACGTGAACGGACAGGGGGAAATGCGGGAGGTGAAGGTGGAGGCGATCCCCTCGAAGCCCGCCAAGGAGACCGCCAGGGAGCGGTTCCAGCGGGTGGCCAGGACCGTGCTGCTCCAGTCCACCGCCCACAGGTGGAACGTGGTGCTCCGGGCGGCGCAGGACTCGCAGATCGGTCGCTGCACCCGGAGCGAGCGGAAGAGCCTTCAGAACCTGGGCAGGGCCATCGAGGAGGCCAAGAGGTGGGTCAGATTAGTTTTCTCTCCCCCTAGTAACTCCTCCTCCCTTGCAGACTCATCATGCTCAACCCGGGATGTCCCTCCGGGCGGGAGTCCCCCATCCGCATCGAGTTCGAGGACGAGAAGTCGAGCACTCTGTTGGAGCTGCTCAACCAGATCAGCGCGGAGATCAGCGACAGCGAGCGACCCAAGGCGAAGCCCACCTGGCGGCCTCCTCTGAAGTCGGTGCACGCCAGGGCCATCGCTTCCAACAACACCCGATCCCTCACAGCGCCGGAGCTGAAGTTCAGCCGGAAGTCCTCGGCCAGTCCGGCTCCCACTCCCGTGGAGACGCCCAAGCACAGTGCGGTCTCCCAACTGCGGAGCCGGGAGCTGCCCCTCTGCGCCAGCAAGCTCATTGCCAACCCCGCTCCCTCGGCTAATCCCCCCAAGAAGGCGGCTCCCTCCATCCCGACTGGAGCCCCGCCGCCCAGCTACAAGGCCTCCGCCGCCCACACGCCCTTCTCCGTGGAGAGGGGCCGCTCCCGGATGGCATCGGATGGCATAGACATCCACGTGGTGGACCTGGACGAGCGGGGAGGTCACCCGGGCAGGGCCACGGCCGCGGACAACGTGTCCGACATCAGCTCCATAGCCAGCACGAGTCCCCAGCGGCCGAGGCACCGCAACTGAATGTGATTGTGGCGTGGACTCGGGCCATAAGTCTCCCTGGGAATGGCTACTCAAGGTGCCTTCCGAGCAGCGCCTCTCTTGTATCCATCCGTCTATTATGCGTAACAGGGAATAAAGTTGTTTAGGCAAATGTAATGAGGGCTCTGCTGTCTCCTTCCCCCGGTTACTTGCAGCCGATGAAGCATCCCGGGTGATGCGGACCCCCGGGACTTAACTTTCCCCGGGGAAAGCGTGCGTGAACTCGCATTCAAGCAGGAAGCTTCAAAGGCAATTGAGGCACAAACACAAACTTAAACACAAACAAGTCGCCGGATAAACGCTTTGGGGCCGAAAAGAGGGGAATTATAAATTCAATTTGATGTCATATCAATTGATTTCGGGCCGCATCTTTTGCCGCTTCGCCAGCCGAATTCCAGGGATCCTTGGAAGAGTCGACTGCGGCTGGCATTTGATTTTGATGACGCGTGGCACTTTTGAAATTTATGCGCCACTCGGAGCTCACTTTGTATGCGGCCAGTGCCTCGGAAAGATGAGGAACGCCCCAAGTTGCCGTACGTGTGTGTGTTTTTCGGGGGACAAAGTTGGGGGTCCGTGAGTTTTGCATGAAACCCGATGTTTTTTGCTGACACTCGCCGGATAAACGCAGGTATTACGATTATTACGAGTGTTCCCCGCCCTGCGGTGCCTCGAGCAAGTATAAATGTCGCTTGCCCCTGCCCCTTGCGGCAGTAATGTATGTTAATGTGATTAGGCTCCACGTAGTTCAGCAGATGCAAACCTGATATTCATGCTCCGGTGCGCGAACTCCTGGCCATCACGTATCCGCATCCGATTACCCAATGGAATGCCAAGAGCAGAAAATCGAAAATTCCAAAAATCGCCTTTATTTACACAAGTTCACTTGAGTTCCGAGTTCCGGATTCCGAACTCGGCGCTCGAGCTCTCACTACTTCGCTAGGCAGACAATGTACACAGAGACGACGGCTAGAGGTTAGTAATTACAGAGTGCTTAGCCTAGGTTCGATAGTGGGATTGCAGATTCGATTGTTGCACCATGCGGGATGCAGGATTCTGGGTGCAGGATGCTGGGTGCTGGCTAGCTAGACGCAGGCGCAGGGAGACTACCCCTCCGTGCGGGCCAGCTTCAGCCGCACCGCGATGCGGCGGCACTTCCACATGAGCTGCGTCTCCAGGATGCTGAAGGACATGGCCACCAGGACGAGGCCGAGGAGCAGGTAGGCGCAGCAGGCGTACAGCTGCAGCTCCGGTCCGTTGAAGCTGCGGGCGGGCACGAAGTCCCCGTACCCGATGGTGGACAGGGTCACGAAGCAGAAGTAGGCCCCGTCCACCAGCGACCAGTTCTCCCAGAGGGCGAAGAGCGCGGTGCCCACGCAGATGTAGCAGGCCAGGATGAGCAGCACCAGGCTGATGGGCACCTGCCGGCCCTCCGCCTCCTCCCTCATCCTCATCCTCCTCCTCGGTATCCTCCCCGCCTCCGAAGCCACACTCCTCCGCTCCGCAGCGATGGCGCATCCTGCGCAGCGCGAACTGCTCGCCGCCGTGCTGCAGGAACTCCTCGTCCTCGGAGGTCTCCGTGTTGTTGGCCGTGCCCTCGAGCAGCGTTCCGGTGGCGTGGCGGTGGCAGCGCCTCGTCAGCAGGAGGGTCCTGCGGCCAAGGGGGCGGGGCCGGAGTCCTGCGGCACGCGCACAGGACTCGCTATCAGCGGCACTCGCGAGGGCGTTCCGTGCGGGCAGTTGCTGTGGGCGGTAAAAAAACAACATGGGTGGACATAAATATTGCGCCGCAGCTGACCATAAAACAAATCAATTAGGCATAAAAAGCAACCCAGCAACCCGGGCCGTAAAAAGGAAATAGCTGTGCGTTGCCTCCCCGATCAATCAATAACACATTAAACTGTCCGTGTTCGTGGTCCAAACTGGATGGGAATACCGGGCGTATGCGCGATATTTGGGAAACTACAACTGCGGGAACTGCAGAGAAGCCCTGCTGTACCCCTAGGTAAACATTTAAATACATAAAAAGCATACATAACATGATTTCTACTTATTAAATAAACCTGTAAAACCAGTAAACTAAAGACTCCTTGCGAGCAATCCGCCTTAAAGCCGGCAAGCAACCGCTTAACCAGGTCTCGAAATCTCTCCTGTCGAGAAGTTCAAGTCCCGAATCGAGACTGATTTGATTGACAATCCAAAGCCCCTTGAGTCGCCGAACGAGGGTCTCGACATCCCGCAACAGTTCCCCGGAGAAGTGCGATGCCGCACTCCGGCTTCCGACCGGCGAGTTCACTCTGTCAAACCAATTTGGCGAACAGTTATTGAACCTGGCCAACAGCTCTTGGGTGGAAGTGGAAGTGGGGCCCTTGTTTGGGCAAACACTCGCTCGAGATGCACTTGCACTTGCAGGGCGATTGGCCGGGAAGTGCCTGAGCAGCACTCCCGATTTGGGCGGCGATCAATAAGCACATCGACTGCTGGGCTGCTCCCAAGTGCATGTTTGGCTAAGACAGGAGGGGAGGAGAGATGAAAGTGGTTAAGGGGGCGGGGCTGCGATTAATTGGCCCGATTCATTGCGAGTGAGTGCCCGGCTCGGCTTACAATTAATTACAGAGCGAAACGGGGCTGGCACTGAAACTGAAACTGAACCGAAACCCAAACCGAGGCCGAGGCCGTACACACGAGCATACTTGCCACAGGACACCCACGACGCGTGCCAGGTTCACTGTCAAAATTAATTACCAGATGCTGCTGATGCTGCTGCTGCTTCTGCTGCTGCTGCTGCTGCTTTTTATTAAATAAAATGCTCAAACTGTGCGCTCAAAAAGGCGAAGGAACCATCATCAGAAGCGGAGCACTCTTCACTCTGGCGGAAAATGGCGGATGGGCGGGTGGAGGGGCAGCCACCGCAGCGGAGGGGAATCCGCAAGGCTGTTCAAGGGAAAAGTGGGTGGCTGGGTGGCTAGTGGGTCGAGGGGTTGGCAGCCTGCAGTGTGCAGCAGGCAGCATGCAGATTCTGAAGTGTTGATTTAAAGTGTTGCTGGCTGGCAGAAAGTTTGTTTTCGAAATTAAATTAACAGTTCTCCCCCAGCGTTTGGCTCCCGATTTAGCTGGCTTTAATCAGATGCACCTTAAATACCTGCAGCTGTGCCGTCGGCACTGAATGATAATCTGAGCTAAGATAACTCTGTATAAATTCTCTGCAACAAGCCAGGGATTTAATTAAAGTAAAATAAACAAACAAATCTTTGTTCTGATAAACTAGTTTCAAAGCTAAGGGAAACAAAAACAGTCGAAGAAACCTGGAATGGGAAGGATTGTTCCTCCTCTGGGGAGGGGGCACTTACCTCAACCGCTCCCGCTCCTGCTCGTCCTCGTCCTCCATGATGTCCACGGTGCCCGTGGAGGTGGCACTCAGCAGGGCCGACAATGTTGCCGCCGCCGAGGATGCTGTTGCATTTACTGCCGGCGATGACGATGTTGCTGCTGCTGCTGGTGTGCCACAAACACCTGCGGCCATAAAACTGTTATCGGCCATGCTGGTGGCAGCCATTGTTGCTCCTCCTGTTGCTCCTCCTGCTGCTACTGCTGATGTTGTTTCTGTCCCTGTGGCTCCTTTGATTCCCGACGACAGCTGAGGGCTGCTGGTGGCGGCCGAGTGGGCCGGCGGCAATAAATCACGCCTGCCGGATAAGTCCGGGGATCCCGCGCCGCAGTCCATCAGGGCGCTGATCTCGTGTGGCAGCGGCTTGGTCACGAACTTGGCTCGCCGCACAGCTGCAACGAAATGAGGGAAAAACACGGAAGGGAACACGGGTCAGAATGCTTCCAATACCGGCATTAACCGAGATGCACACGGCCAAAAAAGTTTCCGCACAAATTGGCAAAACAACTTCCGGCAACTGCCACACACGGTTAGATTATCCCTTTAGCCCGTTAGTTCCGCCGGAAGTGGCAGTGGCGGTGGGGGTGGCAGTGGGAGTGGCAGCAGCGGAAAAGCCGGAAAAGTTGTGCATTTAGCCGGGACAGGGACACACTGCGAAAAGTATTTGCTTTGCATTTTCAAAGTTCGCCCGACAATGCAACAAAGTGGCGGAACGTTTCGGATTCCCATTCCCGGTTTCCGCTTCTGCCCTTCAGAGTTTAGAGCCAAAAGTTTGGCGTTAGCTTTCATTAGCGGCTGCCAGTGGCGAATCGGGAAGTCAGGGGCACGGAAACATCTGGCGGCGCCACCGAAATACTCGTAGTTCGCCACTGCGGTAAATTATGCATCGCGTTCCGCGAACAAATGTGGAAATTTGAAATTTCTGCCATTGAGGGCATTACTGCATCTTTAACGCACTTTAAACCATTACTCGTTTAAATAGGTTAGCCAAGGACTGTGTTTAATGTTAGCATGATTTGGAATCAAGTTGTTAAAAGTAACATTAATGGATTTTACAACTGAAACCAAGGATTAGACTTCAGCTCATATGTATTAATATATTCTAGTTTGGAGTCTGGAGCTCTTTCTGCTCACTGTTCAACTGGTAAGTAACCGAATGTGCAGAGACTATCCATCGCAACCACTGTGCCTGTCACTGAGTTAATAGTTCCCCTCTTGAGGAGGAGCGGGGAGAGCGGAAGGAGGAGCGCTTCTTTCGCTTTGGAGCTGTCAGCAGGACGCCAGAAAGTCGCGGTGCAGAGTGCGTTGGAGCGGAGGACCTGCTCCGGACATGGCCAATTTGGAAATATTTACTTAAACTTGGGCACCACACACTGGCTGGCTGGCTGGCTGACTGGCTGGCTGGCAGGACAGGCGGCGCACAAGGACATTCATTAGAGTGCCCGGCACTATATATCCGGACTCGCAGGAAAGTCACTTTGCTCCTGCGGTCGTTGCAGCTGCAACTTTGGCCTTTGGCCTTTGGCTTTAATGGTGCGGTTCGCCGCGACTCGGACTCCGGGGAGTGGACTCCGGCTACTGTTCTTGCTCCTGCTGGTATTTTCCTCAGCGGAGTGACAGTCGCAGACAATTAACATGCATAATGGAATCAATGGCGACAAATGGCCAAGTCCCACGCTACGACTCGCCGCGGAATCGAGGGGAACGGCTTGCCAAATCGAGTCACGTGCCGCGCTGCAAAGAGCTGTTAGCCGTAATGAGTTTTGCATGCGTTGCACAGCCGGAGCGGAGAGCCGTCTGCTTTGCGCCAAGTCATCATTATCGTCAATAAAAGTGTCGCACATGTCGCAAGTTGCCTCAAGTGCATGTTGTCCTTATCCCCCCGTTGTTGTTGTTGTTCTGCCGTGGATGTCCTGGCATGTCCTGGCTTGTCAGGCAGCTCGAGCTGGAAACTTTTAATGCGGCGGAGTGTGTGACTGCCTGAAATGACTCTGTCATTTCGACACGACGCCGCTTCCGCAGCCTGCAAGCTGCTGATGATGACGAAAATTGCTATATAATTGAAAGCGTAAATGAGCGACGACACATGAAGGGAAGAGAGGAAGGGAGGGAGAAGGGAGGGAGAAGGGAGGGAGCAGAGGGGGGTGGGGGAGTCATCCTGCGACAACGGGGCGTATGATTGATTGATTACTGTTCGGTCTTGTTTCGCAGTTCGCTCAGGTTAAGCCAAAGCTGTCAGCAGAACATTTTCGGTTTTTGGTTTGGCCTGCCAGCAAATTGCCCGTCCAATTAAATTCGATTTTCCTTTGTTCGATTTATGCAAATTCTAATGCCGCCTAGCATTAGCTCTCATTAACAATTCACAAATGCCGGCAATTTGCTGCAGTTATTTTACAGCACATGCACGGATTTTCAACTCGTACTTTGAAGGGAAACAAACAATGTTTCTCGCCGAAAGCCCCTTCGAAATGCCCTGAAGTACGTGAAACCGAAATCAAAGAGCGCTTTTGCGAGGAAATTGATTTCCTGAGTGGATGCAACGCGGGTGGGTCGTCAATTCGTTTCGGGATGACGCGACTGCTCATCTGGGGACAACTTCATTACTCACCGTGCACACTGGCTGTTTGGTAGGCCGGCGGCGGGGGCAGCGTGATGGCCTCCAGCGCGGACGCGGCTGCCTCGGATCCCTCCCGGACGCCTCCCGGGCCAGCTGCCTCCTGGAGTCCAGAGGCCAGCACGCGGTGCTTCCCCGAGGCGGGCTGCAAGTGGATCGTGTGGTACTTCACCAGCGGCTGTTCGCTGCGACTCAGGGCGCAGCTCCCCAGCGGACTGGCATTCGCATGGGCGTGGGCGTGGGCAGGGCTGCCGGGGGCGGAGGGGGCGGGGCCGAACGGGAAGTAAATCGTGGCGGTGGCGGGCGCGTAGCAGTTGGGCGGCACCGTCAGCGGCATTCGCAGCATGCTGCTGGGCACCGCCACGAAGTTCTGTTGCAGTTGCTGTTGCTGGTGTTGCTGCTGCAGTTGCTGGTGTTGCTGCTGCAGTTGGTGGTGTTGTCGCGGGAGAGTGGCTGTCGCTAATTGCTGCTGCATTTGCTGTTGCTGCTGCAGTTGCAGTTGCTGCTGCGGTGTGTATTTCAGCAGGGCGCTGCCCGATGTCGTTGTCATCAGCATGACATCCGGCTGCTGCTGCAACTGATGCTGCTGCAACTGCTGCTGCTGCTGCTGGTGCTGGTGCTGGTAAAAGTGCTGCTGCTGATTCAAGTTGCGCAGCAATTGACAGCCGTCTGCTGACCACACGGAACAAAGGAAAGAACAGACGTGTTCGGGATGATTAACGACTTGCGATTGTGCTGACATCACAATTAGCATGCAACAATGCAACAATGCGATACTCACCTCCCTCCTTTTTGTCCGGGGGCAGCTTCCCCTTTTCCCTTTGGCCAAAGTCCAGGCAGTCGTTCAAGCTCGTTTCGCTGTTGGCCGCATCGTACTTGCAGCCCTTGCAGCTGGCCTGAAAAGGAAGTTCATTGCTTTGAGTAGCCTTTTTTAGAATGATTATAAAATGTAAAGTATTATGGCTTGCTATTCCAAATGAAGAGTCAACCTTTTCTGCGCAAATTAGGGGTAATTTCAAGCATCATCTAATGAGAACTGGTTGGGCAAACGACCGGACTGTGGGCAATTGTCGTGATGGCAATAAAACACGTGATTTGCAGGCCCAATCCCTGGCTTCTTGGGACCCGAAACCGATGCCCCGCCCCCTGATCCGCCGCCCCCAAAAGCTGTTTGCGGCCGAGCGGGCGGCGTCTCATGTGCTCTGCGGTTCTGCGGCATCATCATCAAATGCCAGGCAAATCTAATGACACACACGCAAACAACCGATGGAAATGAGGGAAATGGCAAATGGCAAATGGAGCTGGGAGCTTGGGGAAATGCGAAACGTGAAATGCCCCCTGCTAGTGTTGCGGTTTGAGCCGGAAAACCCGGAGACCCGGAGACAAAACCGTTGCGGCATGCGACATGATAATTGCAAAGACGACGCCAGAGCAGAAGCCAAAGGAAAGGCCAGAGGGCCAAGCCGAAATGGCAGCAGTCGACACGAGGGCGATAATAATTCAACCGATGAGTGCACATCCCCGGAGGCAACCGCAATCTGCTGGCAGTCTTATCAATTGCCAGGCGCATCCTGTGGTCCAAAGCCCAAAAGTCCACTTGCTGCGAGATTGGATGCCGTCCTAATGAGTTGTTGAATGCACATGGATCCCAACATCGGCTGGCAAATGCAGAAATCCTGTTCAACAAGTGCAGCCTGGCAACTGGCAACTGGAAAACTGGCGTCCTGAAAGGAAAGCCATGCTCGAGTGGCTGGGAACACGGCAAGTAGATTACCACTTCAGTCGGAGAATGCGCAAGTTTTAGCTTCTAGCTGCTAGTTTCTTGTTTTTAGTTTTCAGGTTCGATGGCACCTGCCACGCGGAGCCGCAGTCGCGGCCAAATCAAATCAATTAGGGCCAAAAGTGCCGGAAATGAGAAGTTATTGCATGCCACCACTGTGGTGAAGTGTAATTGTTGAGCGGGGAAAACTTTTGCGCGCCGCATTAAAGTGGCTCGCACTCGTTTCAATTTACCTGGCACGAATCGCGAAACGCGGCCACTTGGCCGGCAAAATTAAATTTATGCCGCCGCCATTTGACCCGGCTCCAACTCGAACGCGAACTCGAACTAAAGTTTGCGCAACTCTTAAAGTGTCGAAAGGGGTCCTTGTTCCCGCTTAGAGGCCAACTTTCCCCGAGGAACTTCAAGTTTGACGGGCCAAGTTTAGCGGGGAGTTCATTAAGAGTGTCGACCAAGTAAATGTTAATTTATGAAATGCATTTTTTGCCCTACGCTCCGCAGAATGACAAACAGCCATCGCAGTGGCGAGGCCACCGCAAAATCACTTATTTATTTATCGGACCTTGTTGTTCGCTCTCTCTTTTTTCGCCAGCCATAAATTGCCAATTAAACAGAAATTTGTGCAGGCAAAACAAACAGGACGCGCGGACAAATGAGTGGCCGCAATTGAAAAAAGGCTGCGAGTGCAAACAGCGAATCGCTTTTTGTGCCTTAAAGCTTTAAAGCCGGGGAACCCGGGAAATCCGGAGCCCGCTCCAAAAGCAGAAATGTCATTACGGGAGGCCAGCAAATCACTTACAAAACTTGTGCACGAATGCACAGAACTCAGAACACAGAACAGAGAACTCTGAGCACGCAAACAAACAAGCAGGGCTCACAAAAAGGGCTCGCTGGCGAACCCAGTCGGAGTTTGATATCCTAAAAATTATTTATAATGTATACGGCGGGGAGTGTAAATAAACGCAGTAAACCAGGAAAAAACCGAAGCCGAACCCAAACCCGAATCCGAACCAGAAAACAGCAGTCTGCAGTGGGAAGACCTGGAAAGTATAACGCAAACAAAAAGGCAACCGAAAAGTTCTTTGTTGTTTGCCCAAATCAATTACAAACTTCCAGCTTGCGTTAATAGAAATCCGGAGCGGAGTTCCGGGCCAAGTCCACTTAAAAGGCTTCTGCTGTCGCAATTAAAAGCCGTAATTCGAGACCCAGTGCAGCTTGATGTCCGGAGAATCGAACCCTTCGCAATCGAAGATTCCCATCACATCCTGGCTCAAGAGCCCGTTCGCCATTTCCATACCTCGCCGAGCGGGTAACCCGACTGGGTTTTCCCTCTGCCCAGCTGAAGCCAGCAGAATCTGACCCTGCCGCCGGAAAAGTTTCGCGGGCGAGCGGGCAGCTGGAAAAACTACAAGCGAAACACTTAGTGAGTAGTGGGAAAAGTTCATGCGTAAAACAGCGGAGTAGCCAGCGAAAGTTTCCCGGCAACTTTGGACACGCGGAACAATGTCGAAAGTTTGCTTTGAACCGGAGTGCGGAGCAAAACACTTTGGACCCCTTTCCATTCGGGTCAACCGGCAGCAACAGTTGCTGCGGAAGGCAGAAAGTAAGCAGTAAGTAAGTAAGTAAGTTGTCCATTGTCCGTTGGCCGATGTCCCTTCAACTATCGAATTAGGACCCATAAAAATGTTCTCGAGTTGCAGTTGCTGATGAACTGGATGCAGCTGCTGTTTTCCGTTCAGCATTATCAATCATACGCCACGGCTGCCAGGAGTTCTTCTCTTCTCCGTGGGGAAATCAATATGCGGCAGGCGGAGTCGGATTGCACTCTTTGGCATTGAGCAGGAAAAGGAGTTCCCTAAACATCTCATTTTCTTTCAGTAAAATGAATGGAGAGTAGTTCATGATAATATAAGGATCCTAAAATACACTTCGAGTAAAGGGGAGCAGCTGCTGTTCTCGCTTCAGCGATATTAATCATACGCCATGGCTTACCACTCGTCGCTTGGAGCCCCTCTCCCTGTCCTTCTCCTTCTCCCTCGCAGTGGCGGCGTTCTGGACCGGGTTCCTCCTCCCGGGGTCGCGGTGCCTGTGCAGCTGGCAGCAGAGCCGCACGTAGGTGCACTGGAGGCCGTCAGCGAGCAGGGCTCCCAGGCTGGAGAGGCACATCAGCATCAGGGGAACGCCCACAAGGGCGTAGAAGATTGTGGCCAGCTTCCCGGCGGCGGTGCGCGGGGTCAGGCTGCCGTGACCTGCAAGGATCGGGAAAGTGTCCGGTATCCGGTTAGAATGGTTGGTTGGTAATGGGAGGCACGAACGGGCTAATCTAAATGCATGTACTTTTAATCGGATGTATGGAGGTTAGGATGCTGGGCAATGGGGCTGTGGGGAAGGAACCTTGGGGACACTCGCAGTCTGCAGTGGAATGGCTTTTTGCTTTTCAAAGGACATAGGTATCTTTAATGTGCGCCCCCTCCTTCGGAATGTGAAATCAGCCATTAAATGCCTGATTGAAGTGTAAATTGCACAAGTTTAATTTAAAGGGATACATTCGTACTCTGTGCGAGTACTTAACTTCGCAAGCACTCAATTTAAGGCTAATATTTACTAGTGTAACCCAGTTATTGTTTGCCCAAACTGCCGACAATAAATCCGTTTAGCGACATACTTCGTAGCTTATATAAATGCCCTTCGACGGACTCTCTCCGGATAACTGGCCTGCCGTTAAAGCCAAGGTCCAAGGGATACAGTTAATTTGTAGCCACAAGGATGGCCCGTCGTTTAGCATATGCAAATATTTAGCCCCGCCTACGGGGCGTATACACAACGGCCGATGTCCAATGTCCTGGCACTCCAGCGTCCAGTGTCCAGCGTCCAACGTCCGCTCCTGTGGCTTAGTTTGCATCGAAGGCGTTCGGATGTCGAGGTCTATTTGCCCCCGCAGAGTAAATATTTGTGGGCCAGCACGAGTTGCTGGCTGGTCGAAAGCATAATAAGCAGCCGAGTCCCAAGATAAACACGGAGTAGCTTAGGTAATTCGGGGGTGGAGTGATGGTGGCAGGGAGCATGAAACGGGAGACGGGAGACAGGAAACGGGAAACAGGAGCGGAACTCACCAATTGTCGTTATCACAGTGACCGAGTAGAGCAGCGCCTCGCTGAACGTCCAGCCCTGCGAGTCGCCGGCGTCGTATCCGAAGTGGCCCAGGGCGCTGGCACTGCCGCCCTGGAAGAGTCCTGCCCTCCCCCTCCCCTCCACCTGCTCCGGCGGGGGAGCCAGCGGATCCTTGGCGCGTGGCCGCCACGATGGATCCCTCGAAGCGGCGCAGCTGCTCGTGGACGAGCATCGTCCAGTTGCGTTCGTACAGCACGTTGAGTTTCTCTGCAAGAAACGAGGAGGAAGGTGGGAAGAGGTTAAATCGGATAGCTTTGAGTGCTCTTTCCGTAATTATGCAATCGCAGTCGCAGTCGCAATCGCATGCCAAGTGCAACGACAGCCTTCGACCTCCATCGACACTGGCGACAAGTGCCGACAAATCGGACTCACCTTGTCCCAATCCGCAGTCCCCAATCTGCAATCCCCTGGCCCCTTTGCCCTCCCCCAATCCCTCCCTTCGAAGTCGGTCGCCTGTCTTGAGGAATCTGCCTCCGTTCGGCTGGGTGCTGGGTGCACGCCCCTTGCAAATTGCAGAGGTCGCTGTTGACAGCAGTTCGAGACTAGTTTGCCGTCTTGCCCTCCTGCCACGCCCCCTGGCCTTGGGAGGGGCTTAAAGGGGGATGGGGGTTGTGTGAGGGGTTGGGGTGGCAGGGCTCTCGAGTCGGAAGCCTCGAGGGCGCACTTCCCCGGAGATCATCCACCCAGCAGCCACCCAGTCCCATCGAGCAAGGAGCAAGTTGCCAGAACAAAGCCGAAATCAAACGCTTTTCTGTGTCAATCTTTTCACTTAATCGACCGATTTCGGAAAATCCCCTCTGATTCAGAACTGAAGAGTTATAAGAAACTAATTGGCAATGAATAACAATCCGAAAGTAGTATGAACTTTTAGTTAAGCATTTTATACTTGATCTTCGGTGATTGAAATTGATTAGAATCAAGAATCAGACAGCAAGCAGCAATTTGAAGACAAGAAAGGAAGCTAACTTTGGCAAGCCGAAGCTTACATAGATTCTCTTGCAGTCATCACAAATGTAAAGCAAAACAAAAAAGGCAACAAAATTAAAAATTAGTAACAAAAATTCAACAAAAATCAACCAAAAAATAAAACATTAACTAATAATGTAGTTGGTTACAGAATTTAAATAAAAACATTTAGAGGTTGTCACTTCAAAATCGGATATAAATAAGAAAAGTAATGGGCTTAGGAGTAGTTAATATGGTAAATTTTCAGTAAGTTGTAAATTTCGGAAAAACATAAAATTCTTATGATTCTAACTGACTAAATTTTAACTAAAAGATTATGGGTTGTTTTTCTGGATTTAATGAGATTACCTTAAGACATGGCTGGATGAAGCTTTAAAGCAGGGATCCTGTTGGCTCTATTTACCTCTGAACAAGACTAACCCTTAAATCGCGGAGCCCTCGTTGAGGCAAGTAATAAATTGCCTGTGATATAAGGGCCAGGCTGCAAGGTGAGACGAGTGCAGCACATCATTAGGATCTGCTGCTGGGCCATCGAATTAATCATACGCCAGGTGGGTCGCCTCTGCCGCGGATGAGCTCGAGTTAATTGGTTTATTTATTATGTGGAATTTTAATTAAATAAACATCAGCTCTAGAGCACACGCACGTGCCGCTGCGTCGGCGGAATAGGAGTCCTCCTGGGCCTCCAATCGAGTGCCACTGGCAGGTGCGACAAGTAATTAATTTCTCATAAATCAGGCCAACAAATAGAGCTCAAAATAGTTGCGACAAAGCAGTCCAATCGCATCGCATTTGCGGAAGGAAATTAAATGGCCGCGCCCGGCCAAATATTTGGCTATGCAAATAAATAGCTGCGAAAATGAAATTTAGCCGGCCTTTTGTTTGGATTTCAGTGGGGAGGGGGGCGTGTTTGCCAGCACTTATAATTAAAATATTTGTGCTGGCTCTGCTCCTGCAACCGCTACTATTTACTTGGCATTATTGGGCGATAACAAAACACTGTCGCTTTAATGTCCGAATTACTTTGCCAATTTGCAGGCAAATCAAGCGTGAAAAGCTCGCCGAAAATTTACGGGCGATGCGGCAAAAATGTGGCGGTCATAATAATTTATGCGGAAATTCGTGCGCCGCCAGCGAAGCGTTAAAATATTCGCAGCACTCTCAAAAAGATTGCGATAGCTGATTATCGGGGGTTATATAGCTTATTCTAGTTTATAAATAAGTTGAATAGGTTCCCAGTTCGATGCTCACCTGTAATGATCCAGAGCTCCCGCAGGCAGTCCTCGCGGCTCTTGGCGATGGCCGCCGACTTGCTGAGGTCCTGCGGCGCCTCGAGAAGCGGGAAGATGAGGGCGCCCAGCACCGAGTAGCCGACGACCAGGAGCACCAGCCCGGGCGTCGAGAGCAGCAGCTTGAGGAGGAGGCCGCAGCAGCGCCGGGTTCCGCTGCCCGGCTTGGCGGTCAGCGAGGCGGTGGTCCGGGCCCCCACCTCCGATCCTCCGGCTTCCGCCGCTCCGACCTCCGCCGCCGCCTCGTCGTCGTGGGAGAGCTCCGGCTGGGGCTCCCGCTGCTTGGCCTTGATCGCCTGCTCAACGTCGGACATGATCGCTCTGCGCTCAATGGCATTTAGTGGCCACCTGCTGCTCCCCTCCCTCCGCGTCTTGTTTCCGTATCTGTTTCCGTTTCCGTTTCCGGTTACGCTCTCGCTTCCGCTTTCGTTTTCGTTTTAGTTTTCGTTTCCGTTTCCGTGTTCCCGTTCCCGTTGCCTTCGCCCTGCAGCAAGCACTTCCGTTCCCGCTGGCGGCAGAGCCCCTGATTCATGGCTTCGGAACCCCTGGCTCACTAATTGCAACAGCGATTCCTCATCGTTCGCAATGCCGCTTTGTCCTCTATGTCGGCCCTATATCGCCCCTATATCTTTGTGCCTTCCCGCCTGTCTGTCGCCTGTCTTCTGTCGTCTGTCCGCCTGTTGCCTTCAGCAAGCGTATTATGTTTTAAGCTGTCGTTGACTCGTTTTTGTTGCAGTTCCTGTTGTTGCCGCAGTTGCTACTGTTGCTGCTGGCTGATGATGTTGCTGCCTCAGATGTTGTTGCTGCTGTTGCTGCCAATGTTGCTGACGTGGCGTTTAGCATTGTTCCCGGTCTGCGCACTCCGTGGAACCCTCCTCCGCCCAGCCGTTTGTACTTTTAAAGTTGTTGTGCCAGTTTGCCCGCTCCCTCCTCGCCGAAGTGCAGCCTGTAGTGCCTGTAATTGAAAACATTTGTATGCTGTAGTCGGTATTCTCATTGTTGCAGTTGCAGTGGCAGAGGCAGAGGCAGTTGCTGCTGCTGCAGTAGCTGCCACTGCTTCTGCTGCCGCCTCGCTGCTTCCGTTGAAGTGCACTTGGGAGTAGGTTAAGCGCACACAAAGTATAGCGCACTAAATTTGACACTTCACTTAATCTAATTAGCCACTCTTTAAGGCCCATAGCTTTCTGTTCTTGCCAGGTGGCCAGCCTCGTGTACAAAATGGCAGACGAATGAGTATGTTTCTCCAATGTTGATTGAGGAGCAAAAAGTAGTTTACTGATAACAAATAAGAGGTAATTAGTTAGCGTTTTTTGCGACTCTGAACCAAAATACGTGACTGCATTTACTTAGCAACACAATGGGATTGTGGTAATTGGATTGTTAATAAATCTGCATTATTGGCAAACACGATTTAAATATATAAGCAAAATCCCAGAAAGTCATTATTCCCCTTCGAACTTTCTTCCGCTCCATTTGAATATCGATTTCCACTCCGGAGGGAGCTTAAATCTGCACCACACATGGTTAAAGCCCCATTTAACCAGACTGGCCCACAAAGAGCTCATTATCGGATCCCATCGATTAGGCCATAAAATGATAACAATGCGGAGTCCGCACTGCCAGCGCGTAATACAAATTGGGCGAGGCGGTGGAGAGTGGCAAATTGAAATCCGTCTGCCGGAGCACCATCTGAATACCCACATGGTTGGTTCCTCCCACTGCCCCGATTCCATCCATTCAGTCTTCACACATCAAAGTCCATAATCGTAATGGAGCTGACTTCGTGGGCGGCTGGGTAATACGCTTAGGATATTTAGACATTGAACCAATTAAAGCCGGGAAACCCGGAGATTAGTTATTGAAGCTCCCTGGGAGAATCGGGCGGCACGCAACATTCATCGATGTGGGGAATCCGGGACGAGGAACCCCGGGGAAAACATTTATTCTTTTGTAGCCACCCTTTGAGGCGAAGAATGGGCGTCTTCGGCTGGCACACGCAATTTACTTAATTGGAAAATAAAACAAGCCGAGACAGAGACGGGCACTGGTTTGGATTGGGGTTTGGCTCGGGGCTTCGGATTGCGAGTTCAGGATTCCGGATTTGGGGCACTGGAGCTGCGCCAAGCCGGAAACCGTTTGGCTGCAGAAACAATGGCCACTCGAGCAGCCTTTTTACGGCTAGCGCGCATAATTTAGTCCAGCCCACAACGGGGCGTATGAGCAACGAAGCAACAAAGCAACAAAGGACGAAGGCGCCGGCTAATGCAAAATTAATGTCAATCGCTTATAGAAAGCCCCCTCTCCGGGGAAATGCCAATGCCCTCTTAATTGTGACCTAACATTTGAACTCCGGCGGGGACACGCACACATCTAAGCGAGCGAAGGACACTGAGGCAGGAGGAAAAGCCAGCCGGAAAAGCCAGAAAAGCTGGAGAGGGCAAAAGGCACTGGGAAATGTCTGCCGGAAGTTATCCCTTTTAGCCAGATTGAAATCAGCTTACAGGCGCTCCTTAATTGAAATGTTTGCGTTTCACTTTAATTAAAGCGTTTTCAGCCTCGCAGCTGACAAAACCCTTTTCAGCCGGGGAATATTCTTTCCGTTTTGTATTTCATCGGATTCATTCATCCCACTGCTCCTCGCCTCGTTCTTTTTCGCACGTCATTTCATGAAGTTCCCGCCAAAGTTTTAATAGTGAAGTACATCTGCAGGCAGGGATAACGTGGCCAAGAGCTCCTCCTCCCTCTTCTTCACCTCCTCCTCCGCCTTATTTCCATTCATTTCCTTCGCTGCAGACTCGGCTTTGTGCATTATTTATTATTATTATTTTTAAATGCAATGACAACAAACGCAGTTTAATTACAATTTTCAACTCATCAAATGCAGCAGCCGCAGAGGAGGAGCGGAGCAAGCGGAGGAGCAGAAGGAGCAGAAGGACATCCAAGGAAAATGGCGCTAATGGCGCTAACATTTCTCATTCCGTCCGCCCTCCGGAGAGTAGGAGAGGACAGCTTGGCTGTTTTTAAATGCAATTTCGCCTCATAATTTTATAACGCGACCGGCAAGCTCTTCTCCAATCCGCTTTCCGTCCCTGGAGAACCCCCCTTCCCCTCCCCCCTCTCCATTCTCTATTCCCCCTGCCATCTGGTCATTGGCGATTTAATTGCATTGCTGACACTTAGCAGCCAGCGCTGAAAAACCCGCACAAAAAGGACAAAAAGGACATCGTGGCGGAAAAGTACATCGTGTTAAATGAGCAAATTGGGAGGAGGGCGAATGCAGAGTTGATTTTTTGATTCGGACCATATTTGCATGTTGGCTGTTAATTGAGGGCGAATCGTCAACACTTTTTTGGCGATTTGCCATTTTTTGCCATTCCGTATTGTTTTAACAACGATTGCCTTTATTTATTTCTAGGGTAAAGCGAATTTAAAATAGCAACTGATCCGAATCGAAATTTAAAACGTGACACAAAACTAGATAAATTAGCAACATATTAGAGCAAACGCAGGAGCAGCTTTATTTATAAGCAGCACAATAGAATTGCGCAGTCAAGTGCCTATAATGAAAACTAAATGCTCCAAGATTAGTGGTCCGCCGGAGGGAGGGGTCCGATAAGGCTTTCCCGAGTTTCCCATCCAGTTTTCCACTCTTTCGGAGCCGTAAAAGCACTGGAGCGTGCGCTGAACTTCGGCACATTAGCCGAGAAGTGCGGAAAGTAGTTGGTTTTATGCTCCTATGGCCGGAGGTGCGAAACAAGAAGCGGCGGCCGGGGATCAACAGATTCAGATGGGGATTTCCTCGGGAAGGTACTCGAAAGTACAACCAGTCGGGGGGAGGGGGAGGGGGAGCGGGAAATTCATACGATTATGATTATGCAATCGAGTGCGGGAAACACTTGGGCGCCGCTCGTAACTCTTATTAGGACCAAAGGAACAAAGGCCGAAAAAACAGCGAGCCAAGTGGCTGGCAAGTGCAGGCCAGCGGATGTTGTGTGCAGGAGCCGGGCTATAATGACCATGTTAATGCCCGGCACAAAAGTGCACTGAGAGGAAACGAGCGAGATAAGTAACGAGCCCGAAAGCGCATCTCGCTCCCCGCTCGCAAACTTTTCCCAGAACAAGTAAACTCGGAAAGCCAGTGGAAGTGTGGAGCTGTGGAGCTCTCCTTTCCCGGCGTCTTGGCCGCTTGCTCGTTCCTCATTAAACGCACTCAAGTCGCTCGCAACAATCTTAATTATGTTGTAAAGTCCTCGGCCAGGAGCTCTGGAAAAACATCCCGGGGATCGCAGTGGCAGAGCTCTCCTTTCAGCTGGCCGGCAAAACTTTGGCCGCGCTGATTAGTTTTTCGAGTGCCTGCAGTGCAACGCGGTCCGCCATCGGAGTTTCCACTCAGTCTGTCATCCAGTCAGCCAGTCAGTCAGTGGGCATCAGTGGCAGGGCGCTGGCAACTTTTCCGGGCGGCGTGGCAGAACAACAAAACTCATTAAAAACTGCACAAATGCAACGTTTGGCCCATAAATACACGGCAGAACCCTGGGAAAAAATGGGAAAGCGGGGTGAGGGGTGATGGGGGTTGGCCAAGTCGAGCGGGAAAATGCAAAACTGCCCAACAAATGCACAATAATTAGAAGCAAATTTAAAAGTCGTTTGGCTGCTAATGAAGGCTTCCTTTGTGCCGGGAAAGCTGAATGGTTGAATCGCAGGGCGAAGGCTGCGAAGATGTTTCTGGCTAATGGCCAAAATTGGTTCAATCAGCTGCTGAATATCATAATTGCAATTTCGAGTGAATAGGGTTGAGGAAGGTAACTAAAGTTACGAAGCTTAACAATGTTCGCGGAAAGTTTTTATTACACCCTGCCAATTAAATTTTAAAGGTTTAAAAGTGAGTCTTAAGAACAGATTTTCATTACAAATTAGGCCGCAATTACTGTGTTGACAAGGCTGGGTCTTAAATAATTGGCCCGAGGGCAGCTGGCGTGCCATTCACAGGCTTCTTAATCAGCCATCGGAAAAACCTGAGCCTGATAGCTGATAGCTGGGGGCAGAAGTCCGACATAAACTCGTTACTCCCATAATTAAATTGTTAAACATCAGTTCGGCTTTAATTGACAGTCGTCGAAGGCGGAGCACCGACTCCGGGCACCGGGCTCCGGAGGACATCGTCCTTTGGCCAGCTCAGCGAATTCCTTAAGTGCCAATTTAGTGGCAATTTGCCTTTGTCTTAACTCTTTTCGGGGAGGGGCTCAAGACTCGGTTACGTTGGGCGCTTGTAGTACAACACAATTTAATGTTAATTAAGCAAAACGTTGCCAATGGCAGTTTGCAGTCACACCGAGTTCAAATGGTCCAGAGGTCCTGCTCCCTCCCCTTTCCCTTTTGCACCTCCTCTTTTTTGCTTTCCCGCTTTCCCGATTTCCCCCTTTTCCACATTCCCTGAATGTGTAAACAAATGTTTGCCCAGTTGGCTTAATTGACTTTGCCGAGTTAAAGCAAAAAGTTTCCGCTCACTCTCTGCCGCTCTCGGCTGGCATAAACGAGATAAAAGAACGAAATTAAATCAAATAAAATCGAATTGTTAGCCAATTGAGCGGGGGATAAGACTGCCCGAAAAGAGGAAAAAGGAAAAGTGGAAAAGCGGAAAATGGCAAGGGCATGCATAAAATGCATGCGAAAGGATGGCGGCGCAAATTTGCATAAAAGCCCGTGGCACGTAGTCAGCTTTGATGTTCCGCCCTTTGCCCCCTGACCCTTGACCCCCCCGTAACTCGCTCCCGGAATCACGTCTATATAATGCCGTTCTGAATGCACTTTACGCGCACTTTGTCTCAGGTCCCGCCGCCATTAAAAACATTCCAGATCGTAGCTAATCCCCTGATATGTGGAGTGTCGTGGCGATTTGCATGGATATGAAGGGATCTCTTCCAGCGGTTGGATTAGTTGGCTGGGCCTGCACAT